TAAATTTTCAGGCGTAGACTATATGGTCAGAGAGAGGCAAGCTGAGACCTTTTCTCATGTTCTAATCTTGGCGTCATGCTTTCTTTCCAAGAAAATAAGATAACTAGTAAGGAAGTGAGGGATACAGACAGTTTTCAAATAAACTCTGACAATTTCTTCGGTTATACTCTCTTTTAGAGAGAAATAGGACGGACTATCAAGAGCCGGCTGTTATAAGATTATGTGCTCCTCTGGTCAACCTTATGTTGGTGAGACTTGTCGAGCGATCCGCCAAAGATTAGCAGGGCATAAAAACGCTTGTAACGGCAGCTGGATCGAACGATTAGAAGTGGCGGAACACATGACGGAGACTGGGCAGAGGTTTGTTGATAATGAAATGTCTGCTACGAAACGCAAGATAAGAGGCTATTGAAATTAATAGATTATGGAATACGTTGAATATGAGGAATGGCGATAGAAAATTGAGTAAGAATTACTTATGCTTGATTGAAAGATTAAAATAGGGAGGTGTGGAGTCGCCACCCATGAGAGGACGACTCAACTTGACAGGCGAGTGATGGCCCTAACCATATTAACACCCATGCAACAGACAAGTCAAGCTCATCAGTCAAAACAGACGTGCGGGGCTACACAATCCCAGCCGACCTATTTGGGTCATTAAACCTTAATAACCCAAACTGACAGGTTCGGACTGGTGGTTTCGTAACCTGACTTTCACATGTACAGACTTCCATCTAGCCAGTTTGACCAGGGTTATTTACGGAAATCTCTGTCATCCTTTTTTCTTTTCTGTGTTTTCCTTGGGTTACAAGCCTTGATGACCCTGGGCTGACGCCATGTTTTTTTCTAATTACTCTGAGTTATGACCAGCTTTGCGCACAGACATTAACATGCATACACACACAACAACACTGGAGTATACATGAACTAACCAAACCTTTCTATATCCATCTTAAAATGTGCTCGCAATAAGTAAATAGATCACGTAGAAAAAGCAGATCAGTTTTCTTGACTTAGTATTAACTTCAGGCTTCTGCAAGAATGAGTCCCAGCTCTGATGATGTTCGTTACATGACGAACGAAAGCTCAGCTCATCTTCACCCGAAACTTTGGAGGATGTCTCGTCGACTGCATCAATCTGAACGTCGCATTAACGCCAAACGGCCGCAGTACAACGCGAATCAGCTGACGCCTTCTGGTAAGATTGACATACTCTCTCACTCACTTCGCTGACTCATTCTCTTCAACATGTACTTCCATACGAAACGAAAGTCTTCACATGAATCTTATCCTAGGAGATCTTTCGAAACCCGAATTTCCTTCGCATATTATATTATAACCTCGACAAAAAGAACTGAATGGTTTAAGTAAAACCTTTATTAATTTTTTAAGAAAATTATGACCCAAAACGAGTCTAAAATTATAAAATCTTTGTTTCTAAATTCCATATTTTAATGCATATCAAACCCAAGAGGATTAACACTTACCCTGCCTAAATGCTACATAATTAAGGCACCTTCGATTGTAAAGTAAAATATAAGAGGAGATAAGAGCTTATTTACCTCGCAAGTGAGCTCAAAAGCTTCGTTTCCCAGGCTGTGCTGACGCATCGGACCAAAAGTAGCCAGATGATTCTCGGCGCCAAACATGGTGGCTGAGGTTGTGTTTATTGAACCAGTCACATCTAAGTCTTTGTCTACACTTTCCAAAATTCTAGCATCTTCCGCACTTTCTTCCTCTTCAGTCTCGTCATATCCACAAAATTCATCACCATCTTCCCCCCTCTTTTCTTTATCCGACTCAACCAACGCTTCCTGACATTGTCCTTCCGCATCAAGACAACAGAGCTCACCACCATATTCGCTATCGTCGCCACCAGTAAACATCCGAGATGAGCAGTTTGGGCCAGCCAGGCTGAAGGATGAAGATGATGGCTCTATAAAATTTTCAGGAAAGGCAGTTAAGGAGTTAGAGGGACTGCAACCAGCAGGGCGTTTAGCATTGTAGCCTAGATTAGCTGAATATGATGGTCCGCGCGACCCAGAGGCTGAATAAATCATGTGGTTAGCATCAATTGCTGCTGATACTGATGCCGCTAAAGTGCCGGCAGCGACGGTTGGAGAGGATGCAACAGCACTGGCTATAGGCCTTGAACAAGCTACAGGAGCCAACTTAATTCCCATAATGTAGGGAACGGGCGCATCGACAAAGTGACTCAGAGAGGCAGGCAGGATTGGAGCGTAAACGTGTGGCCAAGCAAATGGAAGAAGGAGGCAAGTGATGCACTCAGCGACGTTCATAAGTTTGAGGTATTCTAAAAAGGTGCGATATTGGAGGTATGAAGAGTAAATGGTGAATAAACGATAAAAATATTCATTTTAAGGCAAGCAGTCAGTTACCGAGAAATGGGCCTTAGTATTGAGGATAAAAACGCTAAGATTTACAGAAGGGGGAAATTCTAAGAACTTTGTCCATGAATGAGCACTGATGAGGATTCTTGCTAAGCCTATGCTTATAGCCTACCTTCAAAATATGGAAAAAGAAAGTCAGCAGAGAATAAGGCGTTGCAAATTATCAATTAAACTATATAAAAACGAATGTCAGCTTCGATAGCGCTGAGTAGCGAAGTATCTGATGAGTTGGCCAAAATGAAATGACGAGGTTTCATCATTTCATTGAATTACACCTTCCCATGTCTTTGGAAAAGCTTTATTCTGCAGGATTTATATCAATTAAGGTTAGGCGTGGGGCCCATTCGTATACTCAAAAGATTCTAAACCAGGTGGTTCGCATCAAGAGGTAACATGTTGCCGCGCGGTTGCAGAGTTGGTTACAGGGATGAGATGACCTACAAAGCAATCGTTAGTTAACCAGTTTTCTCCTTTCATATGTGCAATGACCAAACTTCTCATAAAAATGAGTTAGTATTAGTGTAAAATAACGAACACAGTATATTAAAATTGATCAAAAAATATAAAGTGTCCCTGTTTAAGGCGCTATCGAATATGACCTTAATAGTGTCGAGAAGTAAGACTTCCGTCACTTATATACTATGAGCAGAATGTACAATATTTTGCTAGATGGTAAATACGGTATTCGTAGAATTCTTAAATGACATGTATTCGGAGGAAATTTTCTTCTCCAAAAAGAACTTAGTTACCTTAGGTCGCGTAAGGTGATTTAAGGACTGATAGTTGAGTTCTTTCACAAGCAAATGAGTAGGCCTTATAATGTCGTTTAATTTCAATTATCATTGACTCCCAAAAGGTAATCTTATTCCGACTCGACTGTAGCTTCGACCTCGTATAGGTCTCATCAACACCCCAAACTGGATTTGATACTGGGTCACGAGTACCGTGGCAAAAGTGCAGCTCAACCCTGATGAGAATACCTTTTGGGGAGCAAGGCTAAATGGAATTCAGTGTCAACTTGGGGCATACTTATACCATTACTGGAAAATCAATTATCCGACCCTCATCAGCTTATGCAGCATAAGGTAACTAGAACTTTTACCTTTGATAAAGAAATATATGCATCTAAACGGAATCGTACATGAACTAAATGC